ACAAACCAAGCTGGTTATACCTTAATCATTAACAAGGCTTAATGTTACTCGTTATTAATATCAGTGAACATTTTTTATTGATACCATGCTAATACCAGACCATTTCTTCTGTGATCAAATTAAATTAAGCCTTCTGAAAATCATTTGTTCATAGTGGATGTGTTTTGTTGGTGCTTAATAAATGCTTGTTGACTGATTTAATTTCATAGGTGTTGGTTGTTGGGAACCCTGCAAACACAAACTGTATGGTGGCCAAGATGAATGCTCCATCCATTCCACCTGAAAATTTTACATGCCTGACGCGGCTGGACATGAACAGGGCAAAGGCACAGGTAAATGAGATAGACAAATGGTTGTACTATGGGAAAAATCATTACCTGACAAGGTAATTGCATGGGAAAACAATTTCACTTACAGTGTAGCCTTGCTTTTAACTCGCAATTCCACACTTAATACCTCGCTTTGTTAACCAATCAGAATGCAAGATTTTATTCAGTTATGTGATTCTAACAGTAATTCATCCTGATTCACCAGGTTTGTAATTCAGGAGGAGGTACAAACTCTGCGTTCATGTTCACTCTGATCTTGGCCATTTCAGGGTTTTACTCGTAATCATCTTAAATTTTTTGAAAGAGAGCTGGAATGGGTATGGAAAATAAAAATAAAATCTGAAGTTGACAAGATAGGAAGTAGTTTCAAAGCTGCAACCAATGCTTATTTCTGAGTTAGATCTTCATAAGGTAACTGATTTCAATGAAAAGAGCCTTGGCCAAAATGTGTTGTAAATAATATTAGAGAGTTGTCAATTCCTGGGAAAACCCTAAATGATCCTTGAAAGTAGAAACTAATTTAGAGTCCAACATGGCCTTAATGTAGCTCAGTGTCGGAGCATTTACCTCAAATTCCAAACTTCTTAGTTACCTTTCTTAACAAAGAAAGCAGATGCTTCCTGTTTTCGCCCATGACTAATTAATAACATTGTATTGGAAGAGAAATTATTTTAATTGGACTTTGCAGATTGCGAGTAGAATTGGCACCCAAGTTGAAGTGGTGAAAAATATCATCATCTGGGGAAATCACTCGTCCACGCAGTACCCAGATGTCAATCATGGAACTGTTCTTATGTCAGATGGATCTGTGTCAATCAGACAAGCTGTCAGTGATGACACGTGGTTGAATGGTGAATTTATTACAGTAAGTTACTTGGTATTATGAGCTTTAATTTTTTTTAATTAATTTGATATTTTGTTGGGTTTGATGTGGTGCTAGGTAGACTATCTTATTTTCAGGATAATTAATTTTGGTTATTAATAGCAACTGAGTTGATAAATAATTGTAAATTGGCCATCATAAAAAGTTTAATATAAAGCTGACATTTCAAGGGTTAGTCCTTTGTCAGAGCAAAGGGGTAACAATAAAGGGCTCTGATGAAAGGCTGACACTTGGGAAACGTCAGCTTTAGAATTGTTCTGCAGTGGCTAATCAACTCAGTTGATGATTAAAAGTAACAGTCACAGTGTATGTTAAACATATGACTGAAGTTAACATTGTAACATTTGTGCCACTATATGAGAAGAATAGTGGAGGCATGGTGGCCTCATGGTTAGTGCACTCGACTCTGGATCGAGTGGTCTGGGTTCGAGCCCCGGCCGGGACATTGTGTTGTGTTCTTAGGCAAGACACTTTACTCTCACAGTGCCTCTCTTCACCCAGGTGTATAAATGGGTACTGGCAATTTAATGCTGGGGGTAACCCTGCGATGGACTAGCATCCCATCCAGGGGGGAGTAGAAATACTCCTAGTTGCTTCATCCTACAGAAACTGGAGTTAAGCACCGGCCTAATGGGCCACTACGCTCGTAAACAGACTTTACTTATGAGAGGAATAATAAAATGGATTTCTCTCCTCAGACAGTACAAAAGCGTGGTGCTGCTATCATTTCAGCTCGTAAGTTATCCAGTGCCATGTCAGCTGCTAAGGCAATATGTGATCACATGAGAGACTGGTGGTTTGGTACAGCTGAGGTAAGTTTTACATTAAGGGTCACAGGATCCCTTCCTCTAACATTTAACAACTATTCACCAAAGTGGAGGTGGCTAGTGATGGTTATTGAATGAGCTGCAAAGCAGCAAGGTAAATATCAAACACTGGCCACCGACACTGAGGTGAAAAGTTGTTTTTAGTACGTACTGAAACAGTGAGTTAATATAGCAAAAAAAAAAAGGATAATAATTCATTTATATCTGGTACCATTACCATATTTTTGAGCACAAATCCTGCATGAGTTGCTCAGAGGTGAATATTTAACAACTATTCAATGAAGTGGAGGTGGTTAGTGGTGGATATTTACTGAGCCGCGAAGTGGTGAGGTAAGTATCTACCGCTAACCACTGACATTGGGGTGAATAGTTGTTTTAGTTTATACTAAAACAGTGAGATAATTTACACCACTGTCGTTAAGTTGAGTGATTTCTTCACTTGTCGTGGATGCAAACTGGGATGCCATTTTTTCCCCGAGTTGTTCGGAGGTAAATAGCAAAGGATATTTGGAGTTTGACTAGCCAATCAGAGTGGGTCTTCAATGCTATCCACTGTTTTAGTATTATTCAGAGTTTGAGTAGCCGATCAGAGCACATCATTGATACCATCCTCTGTTTTAGTATATACTTATGTTTGAAATAACATAGCAGCTTCAATCAATTCTGCAAATCAGTGTTTAATTATTCAAAGCAAACTTTTGCCTCATGGAAAAGGTGACATTTGTACAAAGACATACTCAGATCATTCTGTAGGATTGGGTATTCTGTGACTGTGTCGTAGTTGGGGTTACTGTGTGGCCTCTTGATATAAAGAGTTTAATGTCACAAGGTTCTTTCTCCCTCCTGGGGAATAAATGGGCAACAGTAACACACAACCTAGAAGGTGTCAACTGTCGATTGGAGAAGATGATTTCTCCTCACTCAATAGTAGTAATTCCATTGCCTTCTGTACTTGTCCGTAGTCTTTTCCTAGTATTTTAATGTTCAGTTCTTGCAACTTTTTCTTTATAGGGTGAGTTGGTTTCCATGGGGGTGGTGTCAGATGGTTCTTATGGAATACCAAAAGATATTGTGTACTCATTTCCAGTGAAGATTTCCTCAAACCATAAATATGAAATAGTACAGGGTCTGGCCATTGATGACTTCTCACGTGAGAAAATGGACGCCACTGCTAAAGAGCTTGTGGAGGAGAAGGAGAGCTGTCAGTCATTTCTTGAATGACTAGCAGCACCATCTCAGTTATGACTTCCATACAACTTGAAGTACTGTAACTGCTGAAATGAGCACCCTCCCTTAAGATGCCTTGTCTCTACCCTTAATTTAAAATGCTAGCATTGGTACTAATTCTGGCTAATTTTACTGGTACAAAAGAAAACTGTACTTGAATGCCATTATTAGTGTCTGTGATAAATAATGTAGGTTTTTCAAACAAAATGTATACTGCAGACAATCTTCATTAAAGTTCAACAACAGTTAGAAGGAAAGTGATGATCTCCAATTGGTTGCTATCAATTATGTCTGAGTCCCATTTTTAAATACAGCTGTATGCCCCCTTGTCTCCGTAACTTACTTGAGTGTCTACAGTATATCTTGTGTACTCCAGTTTGGGCTGAATTTAGTCAAGTGCTGTGTGGCTCTATGCTAAAGATGTGACTTGCATGGGTGTTGTGTGATATTGCTGATTTTTTCGGACCCTAAATAAAGTCAAGACATTCAACCAGCTGTGGTGTCAATAAAAAGTCAGTAGTGGTTTTTGAAATATTCATCAAGTGCCTTTGCTAAGTTACAACTTTCTTTACAAGTGGCTTGTAGGAAATCCTAAGTCAACCAAGACAAGCATATGAGCTAACAAAAGAAACTCAGTAGGCTTTTCAGGAAAGTTGAAGAAAAGTCCTTTTTTCCCTCTTATTAACCCTTAAAGACCCTGATATCAGGATTCATATTTTCCATATCATTCTCTATGTATTTCCTAAGGTGCTAACAAGGAGAATTTGTTTGAAAATCTAGAGCTTCTTTAGTTGGTGATCACTTCCTTTATTCTCATGACCCTACTGTTTGATTCAGGGGTTGTATGGTAAGGAGAAAATAGATGCTAAACACTCCCTAGGGGTCAAATAGGTAATCCTCCCTCGTTCTCTCACTTGCCTTTTTTTTTCTTTTATCCCCTCAAGTAACAGAAAAAGCTACACTTGCTTAGAATTCACTCCTGACATCATATTTTCCCTTCTTCAGATTACTATCAATTTTTTTACAAAAGGTACTCATAGCTGTGAAAATTCTTAGAGACTATGTCAAGGAAACTCAGATTAAAAGCAGCTTCAAAGTCCTTTCATTACAACAAATCCTAAAGTCATTTTGTTTCATCCTTTCTCTTCATTAGTGAATGTGTCCACTTTTATTTAGATTGGTTTTTGTTCTTCCATGCTTCAATCTTTTCCCTTTCCAATCTTTCCTGCTCCAGAAGTCTGGGGTCAGGAGGTGAAACAAAGTCTTCCCACTTTTTCTGTTGATGAAGTTGAAGAGAAAATTTTAAATGGATAAACTTCACTGACAGAAATATATGTGTCCAAGAGTAACGAGGGACTGTTTTCACATTTCTTTTAAAAGTAAAATTTGTAGCCTTCACCTTTAATGATATTATGTCAGGGAGATGCTTCCCTTTGAAGGAAAATTTTACATCATTAAATCTTTTTAAGAACATGAACATGCAGCATGAAACATTGAAGGCCATCTTGTTTATGGAAACAAACTAGATGTTAGTTTTCCCAGACCTCACAATATCCTGTGTTGACACTGATCTCAAAAATCAAACTTTAAATAGAACATTTGCATAGTTAACTTGAATATTCTTAAAGGAATACAACACAATTTAAGAGGAGAATCCACCAGTCTATAGGGATAAATCTCTTGAGACTTAATTTTAAGCACTCCTTTATTTTCTCACCAGTTCCATGTGGACTGTGACACCAGGTGGAATATTATCTTGCAAATATTGAACAAAGATATCTGACTTGTTGAATGGAACCTCTGCAACCTGTGAATAACAATGAGCATCTTGATTAACTACATCCAAAGAATTCTACATGTATGTGTAGATGAGGATTTCCTTTATGCACATTTAACTTTCCTTCTGGGTTCATCTTATTAATGAGCTATTATGTGTAGAAATTATTCCTAAGTTGTTCCAGATTTATAGGAAAAGTTGCTCCAGTTAAAGCTCAAGATGAAATGAATTTGCTTCTTACAGCAGTTTGGGATTCCAAAGAGGAACCTAACCAATGGAAAATTGTTTTAAAATAATTATGTGAAAAACTCTAATTGATTTGAGCTGGCAAGATGAGCCTAATTTGCCTTCACTACCTGCCAGCCTCATACCATGAAGAACCTTTTATACTACTTGAGAAAAGTTTTCAAGATGACTTTACAGCAATGAGATTGCAAAACCTAGCAGTCGTCAGTCTAGAAGATAGTCAAAACACAGCAGATTACAATGAGGTTGGTAAATATATGCAACATTGATTTTCTTTGGTGTGGTCTTTCAGCCATATCATAAATCCTTTATTCATCATTATTATAAGCTTGTGTGGTCAACATGGCTTGGTAATTTGGTCACATTTACGAAACACAAGTCTTGTTCTTGACAAGAAACAATAAAAATTAACTTGGTGCGTATTCCTAGATCTTCACCAAAGAAAATTAGTCAGGAACACATAAATGTACACCTGTCTCATCTTTCAGAGCTGAATGTGATTTACACGCTAACTGTAATTCCAACCTGAATCATACGGCCATGCTTTTTAAAATCGTACGTGATGCCACCTTGTTTGTAGCTGTCAGGTGGGTAAACCAGAGTTTGACTAAAGTTCTCTGTTACAAGGTTGAATCTAAAACAAGAAAAGACACTTGTTTATAAATAGAGCACAAGGAAAGAGGTACTGGAATTTATGTTCCTCTAAATAGAAGTGCTCACAGAGCTTTGAAGTGTTACCAACCATAGTGAAATGGAATTGAATGCATTCAGTATCAATAATCATTTGAGTATTTAAAAGCAAGCTGGGCTAAAATTATGAAAACCAATTTAAACATACTTCTTTTTCACTTCAAGTTTCATCATTTTGGTAGCACTGGTTACAAACTGACAGTAGTGGTCCAGAACACCATCATCCAACCCTTCCAACTTGATCAGCAAATGGTTATAAGCTAATGGGTTTTCTTTAATCTACAAACAGTCACAAATTCAAAAACTAATTTCACAAGAAAACAACTGAAATATCCACACTATTGGACTAATAATTATTCTTGTATGCCAACCACTTGACCCCCTTCAATGTAGGAACATGGGAAAATACAAAGAGCTGTCTATTCAGAAGAAGACGACTTGGCTGAAGATTTAGACTATTAAGGCACCATGCAATCAATTTATGATAAGATTGTTTAAAAGAGATAATGTTTTCTCTGTATTGTATGTAGCTTCTGTAATAACCAATATGGCTAACATCAAACCTTTTCCAAAAAAAAAAAAATGGTGTTCCATGAATCTTATTACATACATAATTTATATCCTATTAGAATGTTTTGGTGTGTAGAATAGTTGAGTATTTTAAATTTACAAGTTGTGCTGTATTTTGATGAGCCAGTAGGGTAAGTCACGATAAAAACAACAAGTTAAATTACTAAGCAATACTACACACCAAAATGTCTCATAAATTATCAACTGTACAATATATATATCTTATTAACCAAGTGTGAGGGCTGTACTGGGAGAGTATCGGTCCAAGGTCTTGACAGTACGGACCGAGCGGAGCGAGGTCCATACAAAAAAGACCGAGGGCCGATATTCTTCCAGTACGGTCCCGAGCAAGCTTGGTTAATAAGAGATTTATTATATGACTGAAGTTCAAAGGGACACAAGTGCGGTATCATTCGGGACCATTCGGGACAGTGCCCGGTCCAATACTGAGAGAATATTGACCGGCAATAGAGCATTTTGATTGGTTGATTTTAGTTATTGGCCCTCTGACTGCCCGAGTCATGTAATAACATGGGATATTTGTACTCTATTTGTGCCTTATTTGTATTCGCCTTTGTGCAGTTGAATAATAATTTCTTGTAATAATACTGCTTTGGGGATGAAACAACAACAATCAAAATTACCTCACTATCAGCTTTGCTTGCATAATAAAAGCAGTTCTGTGGTTTTCTGTGTAATAATAACCTAAATGCTTGATCTAACAAATAACATTTATCATTAAAGGAAAGCTGTGTTTCATTATACTCTTGTAAAAAACAGTGATTACATTCATAATATCTCATCATGTCTATGATACTTCATCATTAAATATATTGCAGTCCAAAAAAAAGCTATTTGGATAATGTAAGTAATTTGTCTTTTAAAAAAATTATTAGACACAGGGAGTAAGCATGTTTCACATTAAACAGCCTAGCCAAAAGGATTGAGAAACATAGATATCACATGGTGAATGCTAAATGTTTATGTCTACTTCTAAGAAGAATGTTTCTATTATTGTCAGAGAGAACAATCTTGAAGAGACCCTCTCACTTGCCCACCTGATTTACGCCAATAAGCTGACAGCGGCCTTGCTGAGAAAAATGCTAATCTGTGAAAACAAAAGATTACACACATGTATGTACTTGAGGCCAAAAAAATAAGAGTTTCCTTAAGAAAAACCCAGTAAAGTTTTCCTTTGTTTTAACACTGTTACCTTCATTAGCCGTTTCATTTAAACCTAATTGTTTTATGTCATTAGCAAAACTTATGTTTTTTTTTTCACAAAGAATGTAACCTGTAGAGTATAACATAACCTGACAAGATCTAGTGCATGCAATGCATTCTGTAGTGTGCATGCGACATGCCTGGTATGCAAGCCTGCGTTTTTGGGTACTACTTCTTACTCTGACTGTACTTTTATACAATGCAATGAATCTGAAGTGCAGATTGAGCATCTCCGAGAAAAAGATTCATGTTCAAACTTACCTTGCTTAAAAAACCCTTAAAGATGTGTCGGAGACTTTGTAATTTGAGTAGAACAGAGGTTCAGTTTCTTAATTAACACCATTGATTGAGGTAACCTTGAGTGAACTTTCATTGATTATCACTTAGGAACGACCAATAGGAGATCAGATTAGTCATTCTATTATGCGATATCTTGATATATAACACTAAGGCCCCACCTTTTGGAGAGAGGAGATTTACACACCCGTTGTAAGAGGAATTCGAGAGACATTGATTAAACGCTTAGTTTTAACTGAGTCGAGTCTACTGTTTGAGAGCATTGATAGGTCACAACCCCTCGTAAACAGGGCAGAGTTTACGAAATATGAGCCAAAAATTATTATTACACAAATTACAACTGGAAATGTTGTATAAATGAGGAGTTATAATGAAAGTGAATTTTTTCTTACTCATTTTAATTACAAGTAGTTTTCTCACACTCACCTAGAAACAGAACCAAAATGATGACTTGTAAAACTCCTGAAAGCATTCTTTGCTGCAAAGGACATCTGGAAACATGATTGAAAGAAAAAAAAAAAAAAACAAAAAAACAGACGGCACACCATGTAAATGCAAATGCATGGATAAACAGATTTCCAGACAGCACTCTACAGTATTACAGGCTGGTTCAATAAGTTGCAAACTAGTTGAAAGATATTGTTCCATTCAGCTATACAAACTACAGAGTTGAACCGACGAGTGGGGAAACGATGAAGCTGGATAGATAGAAAATTGAGCACTTGAGCAATCGTGCTCAAGGTGGAGTTGAATTGATCGAGTTAAATGGTTGAATGTTCGTGAACATACCTCAAAACCCCATCAATTAGAGCACCGCAACAAGTCCCCGCATTATTACAGAGAAGCCGCCATATTTTCTGCTGGGTAGCCTCGCCATGCAATGTTGAAGTTAGTACCTAGCTCCCGCTCTCCCACCCCTTTTTGCGCTTTTCCTGGCCTGAATTTATCATTTTACACCAACAGCAAGCACTCACTAAAGTACTTTAGTGTAGATAGCCTTTGATCCTGATGTCTTTTTAGAGCCTTTTGGATGTCGTTTTGGAGGATAACCTTTTAGAGCCATTTCATTTTCTTGCTCCTTTCGCGACTTCAATGCTCATTACCATCACAACACAGCCATTTACCTAGCCTGGTCATTTGTGATTTTGAGAATTTGTCACTGCGATTACGGTTTTCTTGTTTTATTTCAGTTATCATAGTTGGGCACTTTTTAAAACTATTTTATTGTTGATATTTTCCTCGACTCTTTCGTTCTTCTTTACATCGCAGTAATTTTCAGTTTGTTAGTTACTTGTTCGGAAGCGATCTCCTTCTAGCGGCAGTATCTCTCTGCCATATGTTCACATACATTACTATAAATTAATTTTGTCATCTCCGTCATTTTTATCATCATCAACTTCTGATTTGCTCTTACTCTTCATCACGGTCAGATATGTGGTCTCACACAACTGTTGTGAGTTTGTAGAATTGTGAGATGCCGATACTTTCTTGGTTCGGAGAATGACTCCTCCAATACAAATCGTTTTCCAAGCACAACTCATGTTCGCCAATTTGATTCTCATAGAAAACTATGTCACTGCTGCTCCATCGCTCGGTGTTTGTTGTTCCGACATTTTGTGCGTCTTTTCCCCTGACAGGTGTACCAGCAGTGGTCAGGCGCATCGATTCAGGCTGTTCTGTTAAAGGTTTGAAACTTCTTCCATACTGTCTATCAAACACTTCACTTGAAATAGATTCATACATGGGTTGTTCAGGGTTTGTTGCGAAAAACCGACTTTTTGAGATTGTGGAACATATCACTGCTACAGCTCTTCTGAAGTTCGGCAGCCTTATTGCATAAATAAAAGGATTTACTGAGCTTGGAAACAATATTGAGAGGAACTGAAGATCTCTGAAGATGTGAATTGTTCTGCAGCTGCACGTTGAGCAGAAGTTTAACACATAGCTAAACGACAAGGGAGGAACAGTCAAGGCTATGAATGAGCCAAGGAAGAGTACGAATGTTTTGGTAACTCTTGCATCGCGCTTAGCTACTGTCGTCTTAAAATCCTTACCGTCTGCGAAAGCTTGAAGCTGTTTTCTTTGAATTTGAAGACTGCGGTAAATCTTGTGGTTTACAAAAGCTAAAACCAGTAATGTAAAAAGAAGAGTTCCATTAGCGAACACAAAAGTGTAAATTATAAAGTCGACATACAGATACGTGAAGGGACAAACCACGGAGATCAGCCAAATGATGAATGAAGCCCTCTTGACTTGTCGAGATCTAAGCTTCAAACGGTATTTCATGGGAGACGTAACACAAATATACCGATCCAAACTCAAAGCTGCGATACCCAACACAGAAGCTGTGCATGAAATGAAGAAGGAAAGATGCAAAGATTTGGTCAGTGGAGCGAACATAATACCTATTCCTTCCAGAAGGTGAAACGCTATGGATAATGGAAGAACGATTAAGCCCACCACAAGATCCGCTGCTGAAATATTCAACAGAAAAAGATTGAAGGGAGATCTGAGCGTCTTGTAAGGATCTTTAACAACTGCTAGGCAAATGAGAAGATTCCCTGGAACTGTTATCAGCATAAGTAGCGAGGACATTGCAGATGAGACGAAAGAAAGCGTTGGAGGTGCTGTCGAATTTCGGCATTCCAACGGACCACCAAACACCATTTTGCACTCCGCAAGTTCAACTGACTTTGATTTATTCTGCTGATCGGAAGCTCTGTGAAATTGCGACAACCAAAACAAGATAATCGATTATTGAAGCAATACTCCTTGCCTCAGATTTTAAATCAGATGATATGAAGATGTTTTACGTTAGACCAAATAATCTGAAAATGCGAGTCTTTCCAGTCACAGCGAATTTCTTTTGAAGATGTTGCTATCGTCACAACTGCTGATGCGACGAGATTTTCGCTTTAGTAATGAATATTAAACAAAACTGTCCACTTAAAATCTCAATTATTCAAACTCAGTGAGCTCTATATGTCCTCCTAACATTTTAAACGCTTATTATACGAAGAGGCAACCACAGACATCAACATTATAATTTCCGCCAGCTTGAAGCAAATTAGTTCCGAGAGGCATTTGCTTGCTTTTTTCCGGCTGTGCTCAGATAAAAGGTCCAAGAAATAACCAGCGATTGGTCAAAAGATTCTGAAATTAGTCAAGCCTGGATGTTTGAATATAACAAACCAATCATATGGCAGAGCGTGACAAAATTGTTTAGTGAAGTCCAAACACTTAAATCTAGAATGCTCGGAAAGGTTTTGATTAACCCCAGGACGCAAACCAAGATTAATATCTTTTCTGCGGTGTTTTAAGTTAATGGAGAGATTTGGGAAAACGATGTTAAGTTTTTTTCAACACAATTACGGTTCCTAAGGCGAGATCTAATCTGGCTAAGGTTCGAATCCCTGGACGGTCGGAGAAGGGTTTTGTTTAACTTTTTTAACTACGATCGTTCTTTATCCAAATTTTTTAGCTTCTTAATTTTTTCTTTTTGTCATTTGTCGCAATTTTTAATTTCTGCAATTCTTTTCAAGATTTCTGACTGAAAACGCTTTTATTTTCCTAAGCCGATTTGTTATCAACAGAGTAAGTAGCAGCTGTTTTTAAGGAAGTTTGTAAGTTGATAAACACAGATTTTGAAGCTACGTAGTTCTTATGCAAATTTTTTCACTAATATCACTCAATCACCCATCGTTTCTAGTTTTACTATTTCAATGATTTCTTTTAGTTTAGTCAAAACGCTTCTCGATTTTTTAAAAAATTGAAAATTTTTGCTCTGCAGAGAAGAATCGTTTACTGCCTTTGTGGTTTAGGGAAAATTATGTGGTTCATTTAACAAACTTTATTAACAGCACATTGTTCACAGAAAGTAAGGTTGTATTCTCGAGAAAAGGAAATAAATTAAAAGATTGCTCACAGTGATTATTTTTGTTTGCTTTACTATAAAAAGCACACAAGGAAGTAAAAGCCTTCCCAAGGACGGAAACATTAATAAAGAGAAGTTTCTTTAGACTTTGTTGGAGGTGTGTAGGGAAAAGGCAGCTGAGGAGTGTACCGTACTTATTGGTAGGCACTAGGGACTCTAGATCAGTCCTTTTGTTCTTCTTTAATCGACTTTTCTTTGCTGCAATTCTACTTACGGTGAATTCACTTTACTACTCTTCAATTACTCTCTGGCTGACATTATTGGTCGCACGAGTGGGCTTGCTGGCAAACAGAACATGGAAAAATTAAACTATTCTTTTCCATTTGCGTGGATCTTGTGAATGAATGGCAAAGTACTTAATGCTTCCGATCAAAGGCAGATCTTTGACTGCGAGGGCCAAAAAAAACAAGAACTTTAATATAGGTAGGTCCACAGGTCAACAGACATACTCAGACAGACTAAAACAATTCCTGAAAACGTTTGCAATCCCTTAAGACTCATAGAAAAAGGACACATCTGGACTCACAATACTTTATTTAAAAAATAACATGCAAGTMCTGTTTTAATAAGCACTGCTAGGAAAAGGAAATCCAGAGGCTAACCCTATATTAAGGATCTCCTAAATGGAAAAGAAACTATAGAAATATAGCGATAAAAAAATAAATATATATATATTTATATAGATGCGAGTTCATAAAAAATATATATAAAAATCACAGAAATATCACTAAAAAAGTATAGAATAAATATTCATGTGATTCCTCAATCTTAGCTTAAACTTGTTGATATTTGGACTATCATGGCAATTGATTGCGTTACTCGGAAGATTGTTCCAAAACTTTATTATCTTAACAAAGAAGGAATATTACTGAATAACAATTAACAAATGGTAAACACCACAGCGTACACTATTGAGTTATGGATGCACGCGGGAGGTTGCTAAGCACGAAAGAAGCGTAAGAGTCGCTCGAGGCGATAGCCGAGAGCGACTATAGCTTCTTGAGTGCTTAGCAAACCTCCCAAGTGATATATTTAAGCTCTATGAAGACGTCTTCTTGACTGAGAATGAGAGAGCAAGGATGGTCCGAGAAGGTATTCAATCTGACGATCTTTTGAAGATCAGACGTAATGCTGGAGATAAGATGACCTCAAGTGTTGATAACGATAGGAAGCTCAAAGATGTTTATGGGAACAATTATAAGATTCCATTGGATCGTTTGACTAGCCTCCAGCTTGGGTATGAGGTCATTCAGTCAGGAACTCGCTGATGAGGTCTTAACTAACTACAAAAATGGAAAGAGATTCATATACGAGCATGTCACTCATCTCAAGACAATCTCGATAGATCAGGGATCTGACACAATAGACAATAAAACAGTAAATACCCCAAAGAGATCACTGATGGGAATTATTCACAACAGGAGCGATAGACAGCAAGAATACATTCAATTAGTTCTTTGGAGAAGAAGCTCCGGTGAGGATTACACCATTAGCCTCCGAAAGCATGATCCGAGACAGGCTGATAGAGCAATTAGGTGAAGATCCGCAGTTTACAATGGAAATGGCCACTAAGATGAAAGCGCAAATGGATGAAGACCTTGGGGAAGGCAAGAAGTTAGAGTACAGGAGCGCAGCTGGCCTTACCGTGTTGTTTGATACGTCAGGAGGAAAAGTCACGACCGAGATGGAGGAATACTGTCAAAAAGCCGACTCAGACAGTAAACATGCCAAAAACCTTTTTAAAGAAGTTCGCCAGATTTGGGACGAGTGGGACATCGAAGATGATAAACAGAACGACGACCAGCTGATGTTCTGCACCTTCTACAATGGTTTTATGGCTCCCCACTTTGGCTGCTTCATGCAAGCCATCAACATGGACAATGACGGGTACATCGACTGGAAAGAATTCCTGTTTTACCTCAAGCGGGCGATGCATCAGTACCCCAACATCAAAGACGTCGACGAACTTTTGAGGAAAACCTTCACGATGAGAATCATACCCGCCATGCGAGATGAAGTACTCGGCCTGAATGGGGAGGCAAGCCAAGGAAAAAAGTGAACGTCCAAACGAAAACAATGTAGCAAATTGGTGATTTTTTTGGCTGATTTTACATGCCGATGCTTTTTTAGGGCTTTTTTGAATTACAACCTGTTTGATGGCGATTTTTTTTAAACAAGTAATAGTCGACACTATGCTATGCTAACGTTAAACTAAAATTTTTGATAAATGAACTCTGGTACAACTGATCAGTCAGTAACTCAAGTAGTAAATTTTATTTTTCCTCAACAAACTTGTTGCAAAGCTAAAGTTTATGTAACGTAGTAATCCTAACAGTAAATAATTGCGATCATGGTTAACTACAATACAAATTATTCAACAGTCAAAACAAGTTCTGGTGACGGTCTTACGGTTGAGTTCTATATTGATAGGTTATAATTAAATCAAAGTACGATATTTCCATACTAGCTCAGTTAGTTTAAGTTGTACGGTTTCTCAATTCCATTTTGACAAAATGAAGTTTACCTTCATTAATAAACCAATTCAAAGGAAGAAATTGATCACAAGAAGATGAAATAAACCATGTTTTGACCAGTTTATAATAAGCAGTTAACGAAATGATGTTCGTAGGAGGAACAGCAATTCAAGAAATTGTAGAAAAAGAGGCCTGAAAAAGATTTAGGCTGCAACGGGATTCAAACTTTTGCCATATTGATTTTTTTGTCTGCGGCAGTAAACGTTGGCTCAGGTATTGTGGTATAGGCATAAAACTGGAATCTAATTTAGCGAGGAGGCTTCATTTGGATTCCTTTTCGGCAACGTTTCACGTAAATTAACCTTAGTTTCTTATTTACGAAATTCCCAGTTTTTCTGATGAAATATCGCCACTGCGTTGGTTGGCTTATCTTGAAAAAAAAGAATGATATATACCCATTACTCTTACTTTATCATAGTCCTTAATGCAAAAAATTTGAAGGGAAGTACTCAAGGCTACGTCCATGAGTGAATGATGACGTGAGTTGATTGTTTATTAGCCAATCAGAGGCGATTCTGTATGAAATGAGGGAATGCGAATGTTACGCGGTCAGTTAGGTATACTTGGGCTCTTCAGTGACGGGGAATCTTAGCGCTTCGTGATCATCAGCCTTTTTCCTGTGAGAAATGCATGTTACTGTTCGAATAACATCTAGTTGTGAATGCACTGGAGTTTGCCTCTTTTGCCGTGAGGTTATTTCTTCTGCCGCAAGGTTTTTTCTTTTGCCGCGAGGTTTTTTCTTTTGCCGTGTGTCTCTTTCTTTTTGCCAAGAGGTTTTTTCTTTTGCTATGAGGTTTTTTCTTTTGCCGCGAGGTTATTTCTTCTGCCGCTAGGTTATTTCTTTTGCCGTGACAGTGCAAAACGAGTGGCGATTTTTGCTGTGAGGATCATTTCTTCACTTGCAAGAAAACATTGTTTACCAGCACGAAAGGAAAATTTGTCCTTTCATCTTCAATTTCGAGCTTTTTATTGAGACGGGAAACGAAAGGTGCAAGAGCAAACCAGCTAAGATCAATAGCTAGTTAGCAAAATAATGAAAATGAAAAGCTAACGATATTAGATAGAATAAGTTCAGAGGAAAAATTTTCCTCAAACCTGAATAAAGTAAGGAAATGCGAAATCCGGATATCAATATAACAACTAACCTGCCAACATAACTTGGTAAAAAAGTGTCGCAGTATCACTATGTAAAGGAGAGAGGTTTTTAAAATGCTAAGCAGGAACAAACACGAACTTCAAATAAGTTCCTGACACTGTTTCGAGGAAAAATGATCATCCTGGGAAACAATGAAAGCGACCAGCAATTGTTTCATGCTCTCCTTCAGTAACATTTTCAAATTGTATTTTGGCTTGAAAACAACTGCCAAGGGTATATCTTATCGATGTCAATCACTAGTTCTTATTTTCCTTATCAAATCGAGCGTGTTGTTTTGCATGATTATTGCGGCTGAACTTTGCGTTGTAGAGTATTTTAGAAGATTGCTTTTTCGAGTGTTTTTAGCCGGGGGTGTTACCTTTTGTTTTGTTAAGTCTCGCCTTTTTACGTCTACGTGTTATTTTGGTAGATCTATATATAGTTTTGATCTTTTATTTTTAGTGTGTGCTTGAACTTGGTTAGGTTCGTGGATTTCCTTCTTACCGTGCTAGACATCTTAACCACTTGTTGTGGTTGGGAATAATAAGTTTCATAGGTAGTCATGTTTGGGTTGGTAAAACTGACCTTGAGTTTTACCCACACTGAAGATCCTGTTTGTGCGCGGGATTCTCGTGCGCAGCTCGTTCATTGGCGTTTCATTGGTTCTTTGGTGCTCCTCGCCAAGTGCTTCGGAGCGAGCCACCCAATTTCCCCCTTTGCAAAACAATAGGGACCTTACGCAACCACGACGGCGACGGCATCGAGGACGTGGAAAAACAAGACATCTAATGGGCAGAACAATAGCTAAGCACGTGCGTTTTGAAAATTTGTACATTTCTTAGCCGTCCTATGCAAAACAACAACGTGAAATCGCCAAAATTTGCGTCGTCTGCGAACCGAAACCGCGACGGCAAATTATTTTAATTTCCATTTGGAACTCAACGCTACTTTTATACGTCATGCTGAAGTTGAGCTGTGGCGCCGTATGAGACAGCAAGCTCCTGCAACCATTTTTGAAATTCTAACTAAGAGTAGAAATTAATTTTTTAATCGAAGTCTTCCTTGGCGTTGCCGTCCTGATTGCGTAAGGTCCTTAATGAATATACCATTGAAACTCCCACGGTCAGCTAACCCAAACATGTCTGTGATTTTTGCATTAAATACGAGGGCACTCCTTGCTAAATGCAGAAGAAAAGAAGCAGCAGCAGTAGAAGAAGAAGAGACCGAAACGTTGTAGAGAGAATAGTCCAGAGTCTCAGTACTTCTCGTTAAAAGCCAAGCGAGTTGGAAAAACCCCCAACATTTGAACCGTTAAGCCATGTACTCTTGTACTTTATGTACCCACGTAATCAGTAGTTAGCATAATTCGCTCGCAGCGAAAGTAATGGCGCCTTTGGTTACAATGATATCAGAAGTTATTTAGCGATTTAACCATCGCCGACCATGTAAGCGGTAGATATCAAAATTCTCATGCAGCAAATTATTTGTGATTTATGAAAACGATGTAACGGAAGGTTGACTCATTAAATAAAAGAAACTTTGTGAGCGGTATTCTTCATAATTATCGACAGCAGTGATATTGTGACTGTTGAAAATGAAGAATAGGAATTATGAGTCGTTTAAGTGGCAGCGAATCAGAGATCAAAATGCTGACCTACTCTTCCATTTTCAAACCATTGTAATAGACACGATTACCTCATATCAAAATATTTTAAAGCAAAATGTTAATTATAAGGCTTCATATCAGAGAACAGAAAACCTAGAAACTACTACCTTCCATCGACATTTGTGGGGTAATTGAGGGCCTTGAACTTTCGGTTTCATATGTGAAGGAGATGACGACATGGTGGTGTAATATCCACCCGTCTGTTGCTGGGACTACAGGAGGATGGTGGCGGCAAATCCATAGTCAAAAATGCTACAATGTTACAGTTTTAAGACATCAATTCCTCTTAAATATTGCTACTTTAATGTTAATTTCTTTGGCCGTGTAAGCAGTCATTAACATAATCCTCTTGCAACAGAAGCACCTGCCATCATTCAACCGCGAAAGTTCGGACATCTGGCCTCAAGAAATTACTACACGTATACGAACTACGAGTCGCTATTTTACGTTCCCTTTACTATATAATTTTTCCATTGCTTAAAGTCTCGAAAAGTTGAAAAAACTCCAAAGTTCCCGGTTCAGAATGTCCAATCAGAAGAATACATTTTATTTTACCTCACTTTGATTATTGTACCCAGATATAGCACCACTGTAGGGAAAAGAATACAGAGAAAATGGACAGTTTTTTATTTTGTTTATTTTTAATTTTTTTTTTAAATATACTCTAGTGAGCAGCACACAGCAATAGATCTTGCCAACTTCTTTATTTTCTCCTACCAGTTTCGTCTGATAACACAGACTTCGGGAGGGAGTATGAACAAGATAGTGAAGGAACTTATTTTATACCGGCCTAATCATTGCACTACAAATCACGTTCCAACAAGGGTGTCAACAGCGAAAAAACACAGGGCACACATTTTTGGGGCTCACGGGTTAAATCCGTGAGCCCCAAAATTAAACATTCTCATTCTAAAATTAAACATTGCACATCATTAGCGTCACGCAGGATTTTAGTCCTATCCTTCACGTAATGTTTTTTCGCTGTTCACACCCTTGTTGGCGTGATATCCACCAAGCTGTCTGTGGTCTGTTGACTTTGCTTCCCACGCCTGCATGCTTTTTTGACAGGCATTCAAATTCTTTGTTCAGATAGTCAAGTACGCCCCTTTTAGGTAAGCTACTTGAGTAACGTGTCCTTTCAATGTATCATTTGCTTCTGATTCAACTGGTTGACGTGAAGGGAACAGTCCGGTAAGTATGACGCCTTTAAATATATTCTCTTAGCTTTTTGTCCTACTTTCTGAATATCTTGGTAGAGTAACACCTTTCCCCGTTCCCCCTTAACAGCCGGAGCTTTATCAGTTTCGAATTATCAGTGCTACATTCGATCATATTCGGCTGCTTCATGGGCTTGAACGAGGCTAATTAGCAGGGATACGGGGGATTCAGTTATGGAGGGCTCTACATGATAGCTTCCAATG